CACGTTTCCACGTTTCGGAAACTCGGAAGCGTTTCGGAAACTCGGAAACTTCAAATTCCCGTTTCGGGGCCGTTTCCGTAATTAAGAAAAAAATTGGAAACCCGTTTCACTATGTTTTGGAAACCTCGGATTCCAATTTTTTTTCTTTTTCAAAAGATTCTGTGGTGGAAAATAATTTTTTATAGTGAATTTTTGTGGTATTTCTCAGCGGCAACACTTGTTACATTTCGTAACGCAGTGTATTGCTAGAAATGTATTACTCCGTACATTTTATGTTTAATTATGTACTAATATGAAATAATATCTAAATTCGAACATGTAGAGTGATTTTATTATTTGGTTACTAAACAAATTATATTAAAAAAACATGTGCATATGGAAAAACCTTGTGTACATATATTAAAAAAATATTTATAAATATATCCTTATATTTTATAATATTTACGCGTTTCCCCCACGTTTCGTGTCCTATATTTTTTAGAAATTACGTTTCTCGCGTTTCCCGTTTCCCGTTTCACATTTCCCGTTTCCCGTTTCACGTTTCCCGTTTCCGTGTTACTTAGACCCTAGGCAATTCATTCGCAGTCACAAAGGGATGAAATACACGAAGGCAAAAGGAATCACACTTAGTCAGTCTCCAAATCCAAGCTTCATCAGTCGCCAATGAAATCCATTCTTAGTCCTTCGTCCATGAAGCTGTCGTTCGTCGGCCACACAGGTGATGATGAAGCTCGTGATTAAGCCGAATGAAGGAGGAAGAGACGGCTTCAACGGAGGCAGAAGCGACGAAGAGCAATCGACAATGGAGACGGAGACCATGCGGCGACAGAGAGCGGCGTTCGAAGTCGATGACACGGTGCAGCAAACGAAGGAGACGAAACGATGGGGGACGATGGAGAAGGGGAGTAGATCTAGCGATAAAGAAGGAACGACGCAAGCGATGGGGTCTGGGGATTAGTCATTTTTTGTAAATTTCTAAAATGCTCATATTTTTGTCAATTCAAACCCTGAAAAGTGTGTCTAACATCATCCAAGATAACACCAAAATAGGTTGTCTCTTCTCTTTCCCTTAACCCCGTCACCACCATGAGGGAGTCCGTCTCCACAATCACATTTGTCCAAACTTGCTCTTTTACCCAAGACAGCACATTCTGGATACCCGCGGCTCCTAACATTCTTACAGTCCATTTTGCTTTAACAACTGTGCTTCCACCCCGAATAGACACACCATCCGCATCTTTAGCCACCAAGCCCATGCTTGTCTATTCTGTCTATTATCTAAAGTCACATCAACATTTACCTTAACCGTACCCACAGTCAGCTTCATCCATATGGAGATCATGTTATCCTTGTTGATTCGCATCAGTCTCTTCTCTTGTGCTTTATTCCACCCTTGAAGTGTTGCAACTCTCATCCCCATCACCTATCTCCATTCAAAAGGCTTTCCAAATACTCCACAAAGTGACAACAAAACAACATAAATTTTCTTGTGACAAGTTATCAAACATGCATTTAACCCAATTAGTTAAAAAGGACCCTTGTCTATTAAACCTTAAACCAAGCTTTGCACAGTTTCAAATAGTGTCCAATTAAAACCATGTCAAAACATTACACTTCACAAAATATTTACCCTTTAACAAATGACATACATATCTCCTTACTCATCGGGCAATTACAAAACAGATGGAGCTCAGTTTCTTTCTCCCCATTGAAAATACTACAATTAATATCTAACTCCACTCTCTTTTTACTTAAATTGTTAGCCCTAGGCAATACCCCTACCATGTGAAAAGAAGTGCTTTATTTTTTTGAGGAATTGAAAGCTCCCATACCCTTGTCCATCCGAGCCAACTTTCTTCTATACACTCTTCTCTAATCAATCTGGATGATTGTGTCCACGTTTTGTAGGGTAGACCCCCCCGGAATCTCCTTGCCACAAAACCCATCAATAGTCCTCCTCTTTCTCAATGGTATACATAAAATTGCCTTTTTTCCTCCATCGAAAAAAGATTATTGATGTGGTTAGTAATTAGTTGGGTGTCTCTTTCTCAAACCCCGAATGTCCTTCGTCATTACTCATTAGAGTAGCCACATTCATGTTAGCAATGCCTGCTGGCGGCGGCGTGATGATCCTACCATCTCCATCTCCCGACAGCCATTTCTCCCTTCAGACGAATACCAGGTGCCCGTTGCCGATCCTCTTCCTTAGCCCCTTCGCCTTTACCTCTCGGACATGCATTATACTGCTCCATATAAAGGAGGAGTTGGTCCCCACCTCCGCTTGTAAAAATGAAGAATTAGGAAAATATAGGGCTTTATAGACTTTTTCCACAAGAGCATCCATATAAGTAATTAGTCTCCACTTCACTGCTTTAGTTTACAAAGTGTCTGCCAAGACTTCCAACGGATGCCCTTACAGCTCCTTTGGTAATAAAAAAAGCATTCATAACATAAGTTGGTATAGCTTGAATCACTTTTTTCAACATAACCTCCCTTCTAGCCTTTGACAAAAATTGTTATTCCAGCATTGTGAACTCTTCAAAATTCTCTCTTTAGTATAGCCCAAAATTTCCCGCTCACACCGACCTATAAGTGACTGAGCCCCAAATAACAAAAAGAGACCCCTCCTATGAGACACCCAACTAATTACAAATACTATCTCTCACCCCTAGCTCACATTAGGACTACACATGACATACAATTTACTATAATTTACTTGTTGTCCCAAACTTAATTCATATTCTTGTAACATGTCTTTCACCACCTCACACCCATAGTTACAAGTCTGGAAAAAAGGCAGCTATCATATGTAAAAAATAAATGAGAGACTTTCAGTGCTTGCCTAGCAATAACAACTCCCTCAATGTTTCCCATAGCTTCTTGACGTCGTATAAGGCGGGCCGCTCAGGCCCTCATCAACTAAGATGAACAAATAAGGTGACAAACGATCTCTCTGGGATGATTGGCCCCACGTCACATCCTACAACCAGAATATAGTGCTCCACTGATTCAGTACATGATTTTATTCTTCTGATTCATCGGTCACCAAACAGTATTGCTTGCATAATTATAGCCTCTAGATAGCCTCGTGTTTTTTAAATGAGAGTTTTCAAAAACAACATTGAAAACCGGCAATGTTTTCAACTGGACAAGTTTTTTCTTATTCTTTTTATATTTTTGAAAGGCTTGTTTGAAATATTTTATATTTATGATTAAATTAAATACTCTTGTATTAAAATATGACATTTTAAGTACATTGTCTAAAATTATAACTATAATCAATATACGTAACGTGTCATGTTTTTATAATGTCCTAATATAAATTAATAACTGAGGCGCAAATCATTCATCGAGGATGTGGTGTTTCAGGCCGAGGGATCGGGGCAGACGGCTCAATCCTGTCCGATTCCAGAGTCCATTGTGCATCTTCGAGTCGTTTGAGTGATGGTGATATAGGCTGGGCGAAGGGGTCTGATCGAGAATGGATTCCAGTTGGTTGTTTGGAATGGCTATGTATGTTAATGAGTGTGTGATTTGTGAGTTTCGGGTCATATATACCCCCATCAAAAACTATGTTTGATTTGGGTGAGTATTAATTTGAGGTCTTGCTCAAGCATTCCAACTTATTAGATATTATAGGGGTTAGAAGATATTTTGGTTTAGGTAGACAAGTTGATCAGTCATGCCGGTTTTGCAATTTAAGATATGAATGAGTAGTGCAAATATTCCAAAGGTACGCCGGTTTTACTTGAAAGTCCTTTTATGACCACTATACAATCCATAATTGATGTTCAAGATTGAAAAAGACTATGAATGTGCTTGATGAGACTACTAAGTGCACCATTGTAAAATCCTTGAACATGCGAATTGATTCTGGTTCGTGTGTCTGCATTCAACAATATATATTTTATTGTTTCTTAAATATCTTACACCAAGATGAGTTTAGAATGATTAATGGACACAAATTTACAAAAAAAAAAGCACTAATCATTCTCAGAATGAGTCCATTTTGAGGAAGGTTCAATTTTTTTAATGGGAATAGAAATGTTGTAATTTGGTTATCATTTAAGACTTTCTCCAATAATAATAATAGAGTAGGTGATATGGGTCATCTATGATTCACCAAGTTTGCTCCTAGAGTGAACACTGTATAATTAGTGAGGCTTTGATGAAATCGTGGAACAAGTTATGTGTCTTGAGAACATACTTTTCATAGAATTGCAGTTTTAAGCCCACCTATGTGCATTTTATTTCTGGTTGCTGTATATTTGAGCCTAACTACTCTCAAGCACTGTTGTGCTTTTGATAATAAATTATACGAGATTAGTTGACTACACATAAATGTTAACCCAGAGAACCAATATAGTCATAATTTATCCGATAATACTTAAATTGATAGAGTTTTTACGGGGTTGATTATCTTAATTGAGAAGTGGATTTGAAGAAGATTTAAAAACATTTGAGAATATCAAAAGAAAAAAAGAAGAGAAAACAGGGAAAGAAGAAGAATAAGTGAGTTGAAAGTTTACTCTCATCTTGTGGAGTTTTCTATTGTACCCTTTTATCTTAAAAGTGAGTTCATACTTGTCAAATTTCAGTGATTCTTTTTCATATATGAACTCTTCATAGGATCAATTTGGTATGCAAAGTGTCACTCGTTTGGTCCCAATAATTATTACTCATACTAAGGCTCGTAATGTAATTCATTTTCTGGCTTATCAACTTTAAAAAGAGCATTACATCCCTCCTTAACATTGATACAAGAGGATCGAAGATAGTGCAGTTAAAAACAGGGGCGGATTGGGCCTATGGCCAGGGAGGGCCTAGGCCCAACCTCAAAAAAATATATTTTTTAACTAGTATATAGGTTTAGAAATTAGGCCCAACCTCAAAAATTAAAATAAAAACTTAATATACCCAATAGAGCTTGTACGTCCAAATTCCAAGCAGCGAAGCCCAAAAATAAACACGGCCCAAGTTTCCAAATCATCAACGAGCCACTTAGCCAAACTGCCAAAGGAGCCAATTAGCCAAATCGATCGACGACGCAATTTACCCCTAGTCATTCAACTTCTTCACGACTTCGCAACATTGCTACTCGGTGGACCGTGGACGGTGGTCCGTTCGGCTGCCGCTCGTCGGCTTCGTCTCCCGTGGGACGGTCAGCACTCAGCCGCAAGTTTTTGTTCCAGAGCTCGACTTACGACTACTCGAGGCCTCCAGCATATAGACTCCGGTGCTTTCCAGTCGCCAACCATTTTCGCTCTTCGTCGCTCAGCCGCCTCGTCGGACGCCGGTAAGTTTGTTTTATGTTCTTCTAACTTTGCTAATTGCTACTTTCTGCATTGCTAAGTGTTTTAGCCGTAATGTGGGTGAACTATATTCAATTTGAGTCATTTGATATTTGAGTGAACCACTTACTAATTTTAACATTTAGTATGAATTTAATATGGATGTGATTTGTGATTCCTTAGTTGTAATTCGTCATTTGTGAGCCTCATTAATATTAGTATGAATTTAATTTGATTTGTTAGTATTAATATGAATATAATTATTTAGTCGGAGTATAATTAATGATAGACTTATTGGTTATGTATAATTCGGCATCTTCTTGAAATTTTAAAATGATGTCATTATCAAACGATGTAAGTGGGTAAAAGCTCGTAGAGAACAATTGTAAAACTGTGATATTTTTTTTGCATTTGATTTTGACGAAAACACTTGGTCCTAAAATATTTACTTTTTTCTGTGATTTTTTTGTAATGAATGTTATTTTTATACTCGAATATAAATTTTTTGAAATAGACATTATCATATTACTTTTTTTGTGCAGTGTTAGTTAATTTAAATTAGGCCCTACCTGATTGTCAAAGCTAGATCCGCCCCTGGTTAAAAAGAAGTGAGTTTATGTGCACTACTAGAAAATGTTGTATTTGCTGCGGTTATTTTAACCTATTTGCTGCGGGTTTGAACCGCAACAATTGCAGGAGCAGCAAAAAGTGGAAAATGCTAATTGCTGCGGTTCAAAACCACAGCAAATAGGGATATAATTTTTTTAAAAGAACACTTATTGCTGCGGTGATGGTACGACCGCAGCAAATAATACGGAGTATAGATCAGCCATAGCAAATGACATACATATCACTTAAATGACAAACTGAATGTAATAAACTTTTCAATAAAGTTATACTCAGTAGTGCATAGGATTACAAGAAACTTTTTAAAATGCAATAAAATTATTCACCGTATACAAGTACAAAACATTACATATCCAAAGTCACTAAATAGTACGGAATAAATACTAGTACATCACGTCCAATACAAAAGACTACAGTAATAATGATTCCAGATTTCTTCCTTAGATCCAAAAGCTGCTAGGAGTGCTAGCTAAATCACTGGAGGCTGCACATATCATATACTCCGTAAGAGATAGTATTAGTATTAGAGACGTGGTTATAGAATAGTGCTATTGATAAACATATAGTGCAAACTCACCGCTTCATACTATCTCACCATCTCAAACTTAGGTTTATATGGAGTATGTAAAATCAACAATTTGATCCCAGAATGTAAGGATTGACCAGTAGACCTACAAAAGACAATTTAATTAGTAAAATCACATCCAATAATCGGCATTGTCATACATTTGATATGAGATAAAAGACACATACTGTCCAAAATAGGAAAATAGACTGTGTTTGTGCTACTACAATTTTAACTACTTATTTGACTGGATTAGCCTCATAATAAAAATTGCAAACGTAAATAGTTGAAATGAAAATAAATGGAATTTTTATCTTAATCTTTTAAATACAAGTGTGAAGTATTATTCATTCATTTTTTTTTGTAAAAACCCGTCCCAAATTAGCTAATTCTGCCACTTCAACTACAACATTAACAAATTCAATATACTTACTCTTCAATGAGAAGATCAATAATGTCTAGATTGATTTAAAATGTTCAGTACTATAAATGTAATTGCAAAATGGAAGAAGAAGCAGGTTCCTTTTACTAGATGGATGCAACTACAATGAATTATCAAAAGAAGGAGAACAACTAGTCATCAACTACAAGTCCGATCCACACAACTTATCAAATTCTGATTTTTTTCACTAAACTTCTATTGATATACCAACTAACGCACCTCTATTGACTATTAAACACACGAAAGCACAAGTGATCATTGAATTTCCAGTTAAACTAGGAGGCCTAGAACTAGTAAGGGTCCCAGTTATCATCCCCATAACACCCAACAGATATAGAAAATTGATAACAATTTATTTATTATCCCCACAATAGCAACTAGGTGTATGTATTTATTATGTTGCTTCAGTGAAACTTTAGTCCAGAAAGGAAACTTTTTCATTGCTTTCATTTTTAGAAGGTGAACTTCATACATTCAGATTTCAGACCGAACAACAAGAAATGAAATAAAGTCAAACAATAGAATGATATAACCAAAAAGGATGTGGTTTAATACCCTAACCTCTTCTTCTCCTAGTCCAGACTCCGGAGCTTACAATAACTGACCTGTAACAACATTAATTTTCATTCACAATGAATGTATTATAGGTGGAGTAGCAATTTGCCTACTAAAGTCTAAAAACTCATGCCAACACTTTATCAAACGTGTAATATAACATGTGCAGTATTAAACTTTCATATGTGACTACTAATTTACCCAATTGATAATCATCAAGCCATCAATACTAATTTTATGAGTTCATACAACAATTAAATTTTTCATAAAATGAAACATAATTAAAACAAAGCACTCAAATGACACTTTTTGCAGTAAGCATGAACATCAATACTAATTTTTGTTAATTGGGTGCAATTATTATAGTCATTAGTTAATCTTCATGCTACGTATTACTTTTTTGTTTGTTCTTTAACTTCAAACTTAAGAACCAAAACCACTAATTCACTATTTTCATTAAAATACTTATATACAGTCATCAACATTAATACTAATTTAATAAATTTATAGAAATATAAAACTTCCATAAAAATGATAAATAATTAAAAGAAAGTAATAAAATATCCGAGTATAAAATATTGAGAAATAAACCTCTTATAAGTGAAGAGGCGGTGGCCAGAGGGAAGGGCAGAATTAAAAGGCTGCGGCGGCTGAAGGTGAAGCGGCCACTCAACGTTGGCAGCTTGCGGGAAGAGCAGAAGAAGTGGAAGAGGCGGCTGAAGGTGCAGCGGCGACTCAATGTTAGCGGTGTGATTTGATTTCAAAATTGTGAGACAAGGCAGTGGCGGTCGGCATCTTGGTTTCACGGCTGCAACTTTTTTTCACTGGTATTGACGGTGGTGTAAGATGGGAGCGGCGCGACTTATATATGGGAGAAGAGCAACGTGCTTCTCAGATGGGGGGCATAGCTTATCTTGGGGATGAGAATGGGATCTGGAGTTAGGGATTTCTAGATAAGACTTAAGGAAAGATATCCTATTGCTGCGGTTACTCATTTACCCGCTGCAAATGGTGTACTCTGTTGTCAATAATTAATTTGTGAGGCGTTAATTGCTGCGGTTTGTATTTCCCCGCAGCACACAAAGAAAAATTTGAAGTTATTGATGCGGTTGGATTAATGACCGCAGCAACAAGTTAAACAAATTCGTTATTTGCGGCGGTTTTATTTTGGACCGCAGCAAATAAGCAGCAGCAAATGAGAGAAATTCTAGTAGTGGTGGTTAATATTGAATTAATAAAGTGGGAGTAAAGTAATAATAATTTAGAACCACAAACATTATCAAATTTAATTTAGTATGAGACAATCTTAATGGATGAATGAAAAAATGAAAGACGAGACATTATTAGCAGGACGGGAGATATATTTTGTTTTACCAAACATTAAACTTTTATTTCACCATTGAATTGTTTAATAATAAAAATTGATAGATAGCTAATAACGGGATACCACTAGTGGTGTGTAGAGAAAAGTCAGAGCTATTAAGCAGGAGAGAGAGAGAGAACGATCATATACGTAGTAAATGAATATTTGAACTGTTACAACTGCCCAAGGGGTTGCTATTAATATTATTCATAAATGCTAAGTGCATTAAATACACATACATGTGTAGGCTAATCTATGGTGAAGAGCTCTGATGTGCAGCGGAGACGGGCACATGACACTACATTAAATGCGATGGTTGGTTGCTAAGGAGCGTGAGCCCAAGTGTTCTTTGTGTTGAGGTCGAAGGCTTCGCCTTCGGGGAATGAGGGCCAAATCCGGGGGCTTGCGTGAAACAGGAATGATTTGGTCCGCATGTGTGAGGTTTCCTCTTGCGAAGCACTGCCGACTGACGAGGGGTGTACAATTGTTGTATTTGGGTCGGCTATGATTGTTGGGCCTATTGAGGTGGGAGTATGAGAACCGATAGACCCTGGGCCATATACTCCATAAAAATTTAAAATTTGAATTATTATTGGCTGAATTTGGTGAGGAGGATCACATCAATATATAATTACTATTAAATATTTAAGTTTATTTTTAGTCCTCTATAGGACAATTACTATTATTTATTTACATTATTGATATTTGATATCATATTATTTGTTCATAGTAAAAAGAAAACCCGAACCCAATAATAATAAAAAATTGATAACATATATTGTACTTTTTCACAAAATAAAAAATGTCAGTCAACTTAATTGCTTAAGCCATAACTTTCAATAGAATTTATTGATGACTAATTCCATTCACAGTCTCCAATTTGCTATTTATAGTCGCCCATTAATTATTAATAAATATACATCATAAATTTATAATGATTCAACACACGCCACTTTGTTTATAATCATTACATTTTATATTAATATTAATCATTTAAGTCTTCAACCATTTTTATAAGTCTATACCCATAATACACACACACACACACACACATATATATAAGGAGCAGATCAGGTGAGAAGTGCTCTTAGGATGAAAACTGCGAAGTTAAACTTATAGACTAAATATAGGAACTTTTAACCAATAAATCATAACTTATAGACCCCTCGAAAATAATTACGAAATGTCACCACAAAAAAATAATTACGGAAATCTGGAATTTTTTTGGATGTGGTGACATTTTCGTAATTATTATGGAGAAGGGAAAACAGTCAAATAGGTCCTCGAACTTTCATAAAAAGGTCAATGAAGTTCTTCTATAAGAGGTTTTGTCCAGCCGTCGCGATTTGGGACAGTTCCCGGTGGAATTTTTTGATGAAATTTTTTGAGCATCTTATTCACCAAGTCTAGTTTACTCATACCAAATTCCAGCTAAAAATTCAATCGGGAACACTCAAATTAATTCTTGAAGATAACTGCGCATTTTTGCGTTCTTGAATTAATTTGAATGCGCTCCCGATTGAATTTTTAGCTGAAAATTGGTATGAGTAAACTAGACTTGATGAATAAGATGCTCAAAACATTTCATCACAAAATTCCACCGGGAACCGCCCCAAATCGCGACGACCGGACAGAGTCTCCTATAGAAGGACTTAATTGACTTTTTTATGAAAGTTCGAGGACCTATTTGACAGTTTTCCCTTATGGAGAACTTTATAAGTTAGAGAAAATTATCTCTCTTATGACTAAAAGAACATGATGTTCCCAAAGTATGACTTCACCAGTTTTTTCCCCAATCTAATGCTCCTACAACGTGAATGGTCGTACACGCGCCTCTATTATTTGTTTTAATTCCAATCATGTCCTCCACTAAGCAAATAAATAAGTACCATTACTGCCGATCAAATAGGATGGGCGTAAACAAACTTTTACTTCAAACTCCTAATAATTAGGAATAAATTGCAAATGAATTAATTGCATTATGGTAACTGCCAAGTGCCAAGTGTAGAGTAATATGGGTGCCGAGTAAATTAGGAAAATACGCACATGATATATGCTCACATTATTATTATTATTATTATTATTATTATTATTATTATTATTTGTTATTATTAGTATTCTTATTGATATTGTTATTATTATTATTATTATTATTATTATTATTATTATTATTTACTTCAAAATAATAATAATAATAATAATTATTATTTTATTGTTATTGTTATTATTATTAAGTGTCCTCATTATATGTGTTATATTTTTATGTAGCAATTGGGCAGTAATTTATCTATAAAATTGTCCGCGTTTTGTCTATTATTGATTTAGTTGGTATATTTATTGCCCTCACTTTTTTTTCCTATTGATTGAATTTTACTATCACAGGCAATAACTTTTATTATGCCCATTATATCATATTCTCCCTATCTTACTACACCTGTATGTATCAGGGCAATAAATTATATAGTCCACTGTCTTCATTATGTGTGTTATAATTTTACGTGTTCATTTACTGTCCTCCAATATATGGGCAGTGAAGCACACATGTCAATTTATTGTTCATTTTACATCAAAATTTCTATTTTAGTAAAATATTCTTTGTGATTAATTTTTGTTAACGTATTCATTTAATTGTCAAATGTCCTGTCGTGTATCAATGGGGCAGTAATTTATGTCTGTCCTAATTTTCTCTAGTGTTGATTTAATCGGTACATTTACTGCCCTCACAAGTTTTCATATTGGTTTAATTTTATTGCCACCCTATGGGCAATAACTTTCAATATGCATTGCCTTTACGTCTATTGCACTGCTGGCTCTAGTATAAATACGTTTATGGGAATAGTTCATTCAATTCTAAATCTTTTTGTAAAATAATTCAATATATGGAGTAAACTCCCGTTATATTTATACTGCAGTATAAACATGCAAAAATAAATATTATAAAATTATTTAAAAGATTAAAATATTAAATGTAAATCATGAATGTCCTTTTTGAAATATGGCTCCACGTCAGGAGCGATAATCACGGTTTCTACAACAATGCGTATTAATTGTCTGGATTCCATTTTGAAAAGATTCCTTTTTTATAAACCGTGTGTCTACAAGGAAGTTAGGGGTAATAGAGTAAAATTGCATCTTTATTAAATATCCATTTATATGCATAGGCACGTATTTAGTCATACGTTAGACATAACCGTATTTTAGTCATATATTGAGAAACTCTGTTTCTTTTAGTCATATAACCGTATTTTTCCCGTTAGGTTATGATTTTTTGGGTATAAGTTCCTATATCTACTTTATAAGTTTATTGCGTTGTAAGATCAGATGCAAATCCAAGGGCTGAGATTACGTCTCACTTTATCATTTTAAGGGGCACTTCTCACCTGATCTTCTCTCTCTCTCTCTATATATATATATATATATATATATATATATATATATATATATAGTAATCTTCCGGTCAGGAATTTCCTGACCGGAGTGCCGTCCGGCCTCCTCCTTTTGGGGGCCTTCCCGGTGGTATTTTTTGCTCAAATTTTTTGTGTATGTTCCTCATCAAGTCTAGTTCATCCATACCAAATGTCAGCACAAAATTCAATCGGAAAGGTCATCAAATGATTTTTGCAAGTTAACTGGTCGGAATATGTATTTTCCGGACCAGTTAAATTGCAAAAATCATTTGATGACCTTCCTGATTGAATTTTTTGCTGAAATTTGGTATGGATGAACTAGACTTGATGAAGAACATATAAAAAAAACTTTGAGAAAAAAAAAACCATCAGGATGGCCCCCAAATGGAGGAGGCCGGACGGGGCTCCTGTCCGGAATTTCCGGACAGGAATAATCCTATATATATATATATATATATATATATATATATATATATATATATATATATATATATAAAGGGAAAAGATCAGGTGAGAAGTGCCCCTTAAAATGAGAAGTGAGAAGTAATCTCAGCCATTGGATTTGCATTTGATCTTACAACGCAGTAAACTTATAGAGTAAATATATGAACTTATAACTAATAAATCATAACTTATACAGCTCTCCGTAATAATTACGAAAATGCCATCGCGTCAAAAATTTTTCCAGGTTTCCGTAATTATTTTTTTGCGGTGGCATTTTTGTAATTATTTTCGAGGGGTTTATAAGTTATGATTTATTGGTTAAAAGTTCCTATATTTAGTCTATAAGTTCAACTTCGCAGTTCTCAGCCTAAGAACACTTCTCACCTGATCCGCTCCATATATATATATATATATATATATATATATATATATATATCATTTTATTGTTCATCTAAAGAATGCAAAAATAATGTATACAATATGAAGATTTTTTTACTAATCCTAACTCAAAGTAATTGTTTTATGTAATTCATATGAGTGTATTATCTCACTCTTTACATACAGAATTATTGTTAAAAAATATCCTACGAGTATATTAAATATATTAAATATCAGAAATGTATTGTGTATTATAAAAAATGTACGGAGTACTTTATTTCTTAATATGTATACTAGATATTTTAAATAACATGATTTATAATATTTAATTTGGTGATCATAAATGTAATTACCAATAAACAAATTGTGTAGAATCATTACAGATTTATGATTCTATTTTAATGTATGAATATGAAGGGTCAAATTATTTTTTAATTTAATAATGTTCTTTTATGAATTAATATTTCTTGGAGGACTATAAATAATAGAATGAGGGTTTTGCGTGTCAAGTGGCCCAAGTGACCGGTATAATCAATCTCTTTATTATACTACTTTCTCTGTCTCTAAAAGAAGTTCCATTTCGCTTATCGAGGTTCAACTTAAATCACTTTTAAACTCTTACTTTTTATATCAAAATTTTATAAAAGTTGAATTATTTTTTGCACGCTTTGTAGCGGGTTTAATGTAGTTTCTGAATATGTGAATTTTATTTACTAAAAATAATCCGAGTTTTCACAGGGATCATTTAACTTTATCGTCGGTCAACCTTCGTAATCCGCAATTGGAACAACATTTAGGAATGGAGGGAGTACGTAAAAAGGAAGAAAGAATTTGACTTTGTATCCCACTTTTGAATGATATTAGACTTTGCACCCCATTTTGAAAAAATTTTGATTTTGCAAATCAAAAAATAAGTGGGATGCAAATCAAATACTACCCCGTCCTCTTAAGTTTGAGACAAAAGTGAGTTTGTACGGTTTATATTGAATTGGTAAAATGAGAGGGCTGTGATCAATCTCTGCCCGCTTCTGCTTGAAGTATCAATACTTTCTTTCCGGAAAACAGGATGTGCATTCGTAGACTGACCTGTTAATGCTGTAAAATTTTCATGACCTGTTAAAGGTGATCTTACAAGGAATTTGAAGGAAACCCTTACTTGGCTTACTGATACACTCCGTTCCACAAACTTCGTGAATGCTATTCCTTACCATGGTGTAATATCGGGGTGCCTACCGTATAGAGTAATCTTTGATCAAGAACTGTAGGAGGATCTTCGGCTCCGGGGTGAGAGAGATGGCAGGTGGTAGCAGGGAGGAGGACTTAGCTGGTGCTTCAGTGAGGCTGATGAATTTTGTATCAGAAAATCAGTTGGAAGAATCAAAGCGAACCCGCGGGGCTCGGGTTGAAGATGGTACTGCCCAAAGAGATAGATCCTTATACGAGGTCATGCTGTCATTAGTGTTGTTTTTTAAGTAAATAAGTTACCAGTACAAAATACTTGAATGCAGTCCGTGTAGCAGCAGCAATTCATTGTTTGCCTTTCCTAATTTTACCTTGAAGTTAGATTGAATTTGGCTGCTAAAAATTTCTATCCAATTACAACTTACAGGTATTACAGGAGAACAAGGACAAGAAGGATGCAGAATTCAACGAACGCATCAAGCATAGTAAGGCTCTTAAATTTTTGTCTGTATACATACTTATGTGAGTAATGACTTGTTTGATGTTTCATAATCAATTATTTCAATTGATTTTGTTCTCTCAGGGCCACCCAAAGCTCTAGATGAGGAAGAAATGGAATTTCTTGATAAACTTGAGGAGGTGAGACTATTTTGTTGACCTAGTGAGGCTAGCATGTACGGTATGCTTATATTCTTATCAAATTTCCATTACTGTGCGAGATGAGTTTATATTGTGAGACAAAAGATAGTAATACTCTTGAAGTATACTAGGACCAATTTAGATGGTAATGCAGAAATACTTTCCTCATTTCCTTCTTAGATGCCTAGCCGTCCTGCTTTATATTTTTCAAACGAGTTATCTACTTCCGCTTTTAGTTTTCATGAATTTTTCATAGTCAGATGTGCCTAGTTACATTACAGGGCATTTGATAATACAGAGGGTATTTCCTGAATATACATAAAACGGACCTGCCAAATCTGACATTTTTAGGGCTGTCAGCAATGTCAGATTTATCAAACCTGCTGTCGCTATTCTTTTCTTTTTCTCCCAATTTTCAGAAATCATCAATCCGACTTTCCCAAATACATCGTTTTGGGAAATTGCTTGGTTCAATTTCACAACAAGAACAACATCCAATTAGTATGCTACAACAGCTCTCTGAAAGCGTGAAGCAGGTCAAAACAAAAAAACAAAGATTATATACACTGTAATAAGTTGCATTTCACTACGGTGAAACTTTATGCTTCCATAACTAGCCACAAAGGCAAAAGCATCTCACATGTTAAGATGTGGTTATCCAAACTGTGGCATCACAGAAATGGATACTTTTGAATTAAAACTGAGGGAAAATTAAGAAGGTCACTACTTCCGATCACAAATTGGGTGATCCCAACAGCTTAGAGCCTTAGACAGCCACAAATACTGTTTTTTTTTAACTCTTTCAGGATTTGGTGAGTCCAATATAGGAGATAGGGAAAGGTTTAGACAGCCACAAGTACAGTTTTTATTTTTTTTTGAAAATGATTTTTGGGTTTGTCAAATTTGATTTAGGAGAGATGAATAATGACTTGGATCAAATGTCTGATCTACCAACTCTGTTACCCGTTTTTATATGCTAATATGAATCTTCAGATTTTGGGAACACATACACAAAAGGCCCGTTTATTTGTCATTTCCCCTTCATTAATGTGGTCAAGTGGATTAATTTGATAATCTATGACCCATTACCTCTGGAGGAATAAGAAAGTGGAAGTAATTTATGTTGATGTTATTCCTGTTATGATGTGATTTTCATTAATTCTATGAGGGCTTTGAAAATCCAGAAGTTGTGTTTGAGAATCTGTGTAAATTATTATGTGCTCGTTTTCTCATATCCTATTCATGTTCCTTTATAGTCGAGGCGAGAGTATGAAAAGCAACTTATTCACGAGGAAGAAAGGCAACTACAATCTTTCCAAGTAAGCTGGAACAGTAACAGCTTTTATATTTTAGCAACAATTCCATCCATGTCCCACCTGAATGTTGATTTTCTTGTTTCGCCCCATTGCTAGGCAGCAGTTGCTGCACAGTCTGCATTTGTCCACGAGATCAAAGAAACACCAATAGCTCCTAAAATTCAAGTGAGTTGCTGCTTCTTTATTAACTAGTACAAAAGTTCAATATACTGTGAACCTTAAAACTGTTCATCCCATTTTTATCTACAGACAAGAGTCGTTCTATATTGCCAACTATAAGTGGATTTAATAATAACAGTAATATATGCTAATGCTAACTGCCTAACTTATGGTTTGCATGTCTGGATCTGGGGTGTTTGCAACTAGAACCAGAAAGTGGTGACTAAAGTAATCTTATGAAAGGATTTATGCCAAACTTGTCAAACAATGAACATGTACTCATTTTCCATCACACAATTGAACATGTTCTTATTTCCAGTGCATGTAAACTCATTGATTTCCCTTCGTCTTACAAATAGTCAAATACATGTACGAGTTTTATACGTTATACAACTATGCATTGATATTTGATTGTCATTACTTTTTTGTTTAAATGGACAATCTTTAGACGGAATATCATTGGGTGGTTGTTTTAGCCTAGTGCCAAATCCTGAAGAAACTGTATTTGAGTCCAAAATAATTGCCTTGGGTAAAAATGACTATACGGCCATAACCCCACTTTCTCGTTTTATGGCTTGTAATTTAAGTGGGGTAGGAGGGTGGTTTGTCTGGCCTTCACACCCTTAGCTCCAATCCCTTTATGCAGGAACAAAGAACATCCAGTTCTGCGAGGAAGAACCCTTCTGCCAAACCATTGGGAATTATGATTAAGGTTAAGCCACCAGCAAAGAAAGCTAAAATGGATATCGCAAATTCTGAAGCTTCTGTTTTGGCTGGGACAACTTCTCATGGTGATCTCAAAGAGTTGGAGGGATATGTGAAGACTCCACTTGTTCATACTGACAACACTGAGTCTGTTTCCAAAAGTAGCTTAGTACAATATAGCGATGAAAGTGATGATGAGTAATTGAGTAGTAGTTTAGTTGTTGAGATGGAATTTGGTGATCTTAACTTGTGATCTTACACAACTAATATTTCTTCCAGTATTTGTGATTTTAATTCTAACCTGGAAATTGGTACTGCCACCCCTGTACAGTGTCCACAGTAAACATGGAAATTGTCCGAGAGCAAAATCGGACCTGATCCCGTTCAGGTTCCTCCAAAACAGGGCTAGACATGCCACTGCCTGTTTGTTTTTAATTTACAAAACCAGTAGGAACTGGATCATGAATGGCTAGTTCCACCAGCACAGAACCAAACTAGTATTACTGGTTTCTGTTTTACCTAAAGGTCCACCAGAGCCCGACCAGAACTAACTCTTTCTACCCTTAGTCCAGAACCCTTTGAAAGCGTTCATAGCCATACTTTAGATAAACTAAATATACCATATTACCATCTATAGCCTCATGCCCTCATGACTCATGAGTCATGAATTAATTAATACAACAGAAAAACTAAGTTAATTCTAATTATATAATCTGTTCATGAATATTATTGTTGTTATTATTAATACTATATTATTATTATTATTATTATTATTACAACCAATCAAAATTGATTTTTTTTTACATTTTGAAATGACATACGTACAAAAAGGATTCATTTTCAAATTAATATGGATGAGCCAGCACTACATACTAGTTAAGATGATAAATTTATGAAGAAGTGATGTGAAGGGAGACGAGAGAAGCATAAAAGCCTTCTTTAGTATTCATGAGAGTGTCGTGATTCCCCTTCTCCACAATGACGCCATTTTTTACCACTGCAATGACATCTGCCCCTCTGATGGTTGATAAGCGATGTGCAACCACCACGGTGGTCCGACTCACCATGATTCGGTCCAGCGCATCTTGAACAACTCTCTCTGACTCGGCATCAAGTGCGCTGGTGGCCTCGTCCAACAGCAATATTTTTGGGGCTTTCACAATAGCACGTGCAATGGCCACCCGTTGCTTCTGCCCGCCAGACAATTGAACTCCCCGTTCTCCCACAGTTGTGTCGTATCCCTGTTGTAAAGCACTGATGAAGTTGTGGGCATTGGCCAGCTCTGCTGCACTAGTGATCTCTGCTTCACTCGCTCCTTCCTTTCCATAGGCTATGTTTGCCCGGATGGTGTCATTGAACAGTACTGGCTCTTGGCTCACCAACCCCATCTGCTGCCTTAACCATTTCACTTGCAGCTTCCTGATCTCCACTCCGTCCAGTGTTATCTCCCCTGAATCTGGATCATAGAATCTTTGCAATAGTGATATCACTGTTGACTTTCCGCTCCCACTTTCTCCCACTATAGCAACAGTCTGATAATGATCCAATTGTATAATAAATAAACACATGCGCACACACATATGTGTAAAAACAATATATATTGGCTTGAGAATATGACAGAATAAAGCAAAATGCCTCATTAAACTGTCTGCACTTCTTTGTATAAAGCAACAATCAGTCCATGCAATCTCCAACGCGATTTTCATCATGGGTCATCCGGAAACAGTCTGTTTATGCTTTATAGTACATGAGTAAGGCTGCGTAATCCGACCTCCCATTACCCCACCGTAGGTGGGAGCCTTTGCGGCACTGGGGTAATGGTGTTGTTGATATATATGTGTGTGTATGTGTGTTTGCTCAATAAGAAAGATCTTTCCCATGATAAATGAGATCTAATGGTTCTATGTTTTCTATCAATGCATGAACTTGTACAAAAACAAGGTGGTACTTTGATTAATAAACTACTCTTTTTAGTTTTTACCACATAAAAGTGCATCATTTAATTGGAAAAAGTTCACCATTCCAAGGTAAAAATGCAGTTTTCGTACCGGAAGCACACCTTTTATTTGAAAGTCACAAAATTTATTCTCCACATAATACAGATACATATAATTTTTTTTAAATAATGGATCATCACCTTCCCGCTGCGAATTGATAAGCACAGGTCCCTCAGGATTTGCACGTCAGGCCTTGTTGGATACTTAAAGCTAACATGTCTGAACTCAATTTCTCCCTTCACACTCTCCAGTGTCACACCGGACTCATCACTCGGATCAATTTTAGACTTGCTATCGAGAATGGCAAATACGGAAGCAGCCGCACTCGTGGCCTTGCTTGAATCAGGTGCCAATGAGCTGGACTGGGAAATAGCCATAGCAGCCATGGTCAATGAGAAGAAAACCTGTATGTCATGTGTATATATTAATATATTAACAATTTTACAAACCTCATTTTTATAAGAGGTTATTATGCAAATTTATGAAGTTCATTATACTGACGCGAAAAACATCAGAGAATGTGATCTTGTTATCCTCAACAAGGCGAGCTCCTGCATAAAAGCTTGCTGCATACACTAAAAATAGTAAGGTGAAGGAAATCCCAAAACCAGTTCCACTAATCAGCCCTTGCCTAACCCCTGCCTTCAATGGCCCTTCACACTTTCTTTTGTACATTTCCATCACTTTATCTTCAGCACAAAACGAAGCCACTGTCCTTATGCTTCCCACTGCGTCATTCGCAACCTGACTTGCTTCTTCATACATAATCTATATACAGTACCAAATAAGCCACACATTAAATTACACTTAGATCAAGGGCGTTAAATGTAATATTGATGAACAAATCTTCTTTATTACACTTAAGAGTGTTAATTGGGTTTGATATGCTTTTTAGTACAAATTTGACCCGTAAATAAATTAACAACATTTATGGGCTAATACAGAATTACACTATAGCGTCCTTTCTTTTTTTTCCTGATTTTTTTACCTTTGCATCAGCACTGAATCCTTTCATGAACTTGATTTGAGCATATCCATTCAGTCCAATCATAGGTAGCATAGCAAGTATGATAAGGGCCAATTGCCAACTTGCTTGAAATGCAATAGCTAAACCAGCAGCTGCTGATGCAGTATCTTGGACAATCTGCGCCAGAGCGTCTCCTACTAGACCTCGCACGGTAGCTGCATCAGCAGAAATCCTGGCACCAATAATCCCACTCGAGTGCTCAGCTTCGTCAAACCAACCGACCTCCATATGAATGACCTTCTCAAAACACATTGACCTGACCCTTTTGATCAATCTGCAACCAGCCACCCCAAAAAAGTATGTCCTTGCTGGACATGCCAGGAATGAGACAGCACCAAGAATCACAAATATTAGTGACCAAAAGTTTGAATCTTTCTTAAGTTTATGTGGCGGCTCATAAAATGCTTTGATTACGTTAGAGATCAAGATGCCAAAAATTGGAAATATTGCACCATTAATCACACCAGAAATGGTTCCTGCTATGAGAACTGGAATCTCAGGCTTGTTGAGGTAGGCAAGGCGTCGTACTGGGGCCTTCACAGAATGTTTCTCTGATGAAGGAACTTCAGGGTCTGCAACCGTGGTCTCAGAAACACCAATTCCAGTGGGCAGACCAAAGGAGGCAGAAATGGAATGGCGGCTACTGTTTCCTATTCCAGACGAACTCCGGCTTATGGAACGTAAAGAGGAAGTCATCCTTTGACTTGATTGCCTTCCATATTTTTCTGTGTCCGTATGTCTCTCCTGCAAACGAACAAGCTGAGAGTATGCTCCCTCCGAGTCTTTAGATAATTCAATATGTGTGCCTGAAAAACAGTCGGCAAGAATTGCAGAAAGTGCTAGTATATGCATTCATGAGTTTGTGCTAAATGTCACAGAAAAGAAATAGTAATGTATATTCTGTGCTTAACTACAGCTTAAGGGCTTGTTTTGTTCAGAAAATTTGGAGGAAAGGGAAGGGGTAATTAATATTTATTTTACCAAGTTATCTATATTTTTTAGTTTTATTTTAGAAATACTTACATGAATTGTAAGATCATTACTTTCGATATAGTTTATTATCTTCACTTTATGATTTCCAACAATCTAAATGTAGAAAGTATTAAGAAACGTATATCATATCTCCCCTTTCCTCTCTGAGATCACCGAAACAAACAAGCGCTAAAAGTTGGTACCTTTTTCAACAATCTTTCCATGATGAAGGACAGCAATCATATCAGCATTTCTTACTGTGGTGAGACGATGCGCAACAATGACAGTGGTTCTATTGACCATAATCCTGTCCAATGCTTCCTGCACCACTCTCTCAGACTCGGCGTCTAATGCACTCGTTGCCTCATCTAGAAGTAAGATTCTTGGATCTTTTATTATTGCTCTTGCAATTGCAACCCTCTGCTTCTGACCACCAGAAAGCTGAGTCCCATGCTCACCAACCATAGTGTCTAGCCCCTGGTTAATTAAGGTTTAAGTAAATACACACACATACATATGTATTGATGTATGGATGAATGTACAGAAGACTGCTTAGGTCCAGATTTTTTTCTCTCCGGCGCGACCATCCAAAGTTATGGGCAGATTAAAATACTAGCCAACAACCACTTACGATCTAATGGCCTACAATAAAAGTTCTAACCATTTTTTCATTTCTGTATATATATATATATATATATATATATATATATATATATATATATGTAGTAATGTAGTATATTATCTTGGCAGTCCTTGTAGTCAGTTTCAGTTAAAAAGGAATCACATGAACTGTTATTTGTGCTAAAGTTGTTGACTCAATTAGGGAAATAAGCATGATCAACTGTTCTTTTGAGCTCTTGAAACCGTCAGAAAAGACTGGGATGAAGGACCGACACAGCAACACTCATATGTGTGTGTGTGTGGGGGGTGGGGGGTGGGGTGAATCAAGAGTGACCTGTGGAAGCTTGTCGATGAATTTTGCAGCATTTGAGAGCTCTGCTGCTGCTTTGATCTCATCCAGACATGCATCGGGTTTCCCATATGCAATATTATCCTTAATGCTTGCTGTGAAAAGAACAGGTTCTTGGCCGACAAGAGCAATTTTTTGTCTAATCCACCTAAGCTGGAAGTCTTTGAGATTGATCCCATCTATGAGAACTTCACCAGCTTGTGGATCATAAAAACGCTCAATCATACTGATCACAGTTGACTTCCCACTTCCGCTTTGTCCTACTAAAGCTGCAGTTATGCCATTGTGTATGAACAAAGAGAATCCGCGAAATATTTGCTCGTCTGGTCTTGCTGGATAACTAAAGTAGATATCCCTTAGTTCGATATCTCCACGAATGTCATCACCATCAGGTA